TGACGACAACGCCCAATTTTGCATGGCGGCGTTGTGGGACGACGCTTGCACAACGCGCTCGGCATGGGAAAGTTTTGTGATCGTATACGAGTGAAGTTGTTTTGTAAACAACTATAATCTTCTTGGAAGACGAAGTCTACAGGTTCCAAGAGATCAAAAACTTGGAAAAAGTACTGAATTGTGGAGAAAATGCTGGATCTGGAAAGGATATGATTTCGTAAGGGATGTGCGCCATCGGTGGTCCACATCGTCGTCGATGGGTTAAACTAACGATCTTATGTATAAAGCTGAATGTCTGTTTGTATGTATGTCTGTCTGTCTGTCCGTCTGTCTGTACGTATGTTCCGAATAGAAAATTCCATTTCTGAACCGATCGGGACCAAACTTAGCACACATACACTTCGGGCCCCGGCGGGTGTCATAGGCTACTTTTCGTCATCGATCGGTATCGATTTTATCGATTTTTTGCAAAAATTGAGCTGCGGGGCTGGGAATTGGCACAGGGGGGGGGGGGTAATCGAGCATGCTGATCACCCCCGTGGGGGTGATCAGCATGCTCGATTACACCCCTCTGCCAAATTCCAGCCCCCTAGCTCAAATTTTGCAAAAAATCGATAAAATCGACATTGATCGATAACGAAAAGTGGACTGTGACACCCGCCGGGGCCTGAAGTGTATGTGTGCCAAGTTTGGTCCGGATCGGTTAAGAAATGGAATTTTTTATTCGGAACATACGGCGGAGCCGGGTAAGCCAGCTAGTATAAAATATGTTGAAAGTCCAACGAGTGCACACCTCATTTACGATGAATTAGATATCGCAGTGAGCATTATATTGAAAAGCTTAAATTTCTGTGAACCACTATGGCACTTACGCATAAAGTGACGCAGCAGTATCAAGAAATACGAAATCCTCGGGAAGTTCCCTCATGTTAAAGTCCTTGAAATTTGCATTTTAGTTGCTACTGACTCAAGAATTCTCGGGAAATTCCCATTTTTGCGCTTCTATTCACCCTACTAAATGAAACCGTCGAGAGGTTTGCCAAAATCGCTTGTCCTTCGGAAGCTCTCATGAATTTTTTGAGTTGGTCGATCGGTCCACAAATTTTTCTATTCGTAACACGCGTATATATGTACGGACAGAGAGAGAGTAAAGGTAGAAAAACAGATAAACGCTCAGCTAAATATAATCAAGATCACAATTTAGATGTAGGCCATCGTGAACAAGTTTTGATTTTTCATCAGCATTACCAGTTCGCAGGTTTTCACGCCGTGCCTGCGCGCGATGCGACGCCTGAAAAAGGCCATTACTTCAGAAGTAGATAAGTATATTATTTGTGGTGAATGTGATGATTACTACCATAATTTCATGACACCGCATTTCTTCAGTTCGTCTATCTACATGTAAAAAAAACTGAGTGTTGGTAAAGTGTTAGTTAGTGTGCGTGTATAGGAATTTTTGGGAGTGGACCAATCAGCGCCAAACTTTGCACACATACCATCGGCCCCCCAATTGCCGCGAGGGCGGGCTCGGGCGAGCGTATCAGCGATGCGGTTGTCCAGTGTTGAAACATAGCTGATAAATTGAATATCGGTTGACCATCGCGACCGCCCTCGCAGCAATCGGGGAGACGATGGTATGTCTACGATAGCGGTCCACCCCGTAGGCTACTTTTCGCATCGAATTTCCCACTCCTTCTATTGATTTATCTATTTTGAAGAAAAATGATTTCTTATTAATCAGAATCATACCTCTTCCAACTTCGTCCAAAGAATAGCAGTGAACCTCATTCTCATTCCACAATAAGGAAGGGCGGTAATTTAGTGCGATGTGGTCCAGGAGGTATCTGCCCTGTGTCACAGGAGAGGTAAAGAGAGCAGATAAGTTGGCCTCTAGAGTTGAACACCAATTCTGCTCTTTGTTGAGCCAGTTGAAAACGCGCTGCTGCGAAACCGGGTATACTAGCTAGTCAAAAATAGACCACACCGATACTTTCCGAATGATCTGAGATCAAACGCCCGTAACCGTCAATACGGATTTATGTCTTTACAAGGGTATTCGCCATCGATTTTCGACTTGTCCACTTTTCCAATATGCATCTTGATTTGAGCTATGCTTTGTTGTAATGCAACACTGAACTCGGTCGCTTAAGATTATATTTTTGTTGGACATCAAGTGATCACGTCGGGAGGGAATTTTTTTTACCTCTTGCCGAAAAAAAAAACACATAATAATGTTCTAGCCTCCACTAGATACTTAGGTTCTGAATAGTGTAGTTTAGACACTAATCTTGATTTATCCATTTTGCAGACACAACAGAAGTAAATTTGTGATGAAAAGATTTTCTGGTAAATTGTCAGCGAGACTGAAAACTAGATCATAATATCAATTGATCTCACAGTTCCTCCTAATGGAAAGTATAATGTAGAGAAATTTTCGAGCAGGGATTTGAATGCGTAAGTTCTTGTAAGCACTATTTTCTGTCACTAATTCCACTATTTTTGGTAACTTTTGCAAATAGGGAACTTTTGCACTTTTGCTAGTAGGGAAGAAATCCTAGTTTTTTGTACCAGTAGCTACCCATCTAGTGTGATGCAAACCTTGGAATTACTAATTCTATGTAGAAAACACGCAACTTGGATCTAGATAAAGTACTTCTAGGAATATATTAGGTCGGTGCAAAAGTTTTGTCGGTTTTTTCAATCCATCGGCAAACACGCCATAATGAAGATAAACAAACGCTTCAAAGTGTATCCAATGCAAAATTTCTTCCTCTTTTCAATTGCTAAACCTCCATTGTGCTTTGTTGCGAGAGTGACGAGATATTTGGTGGAGATTACGACCACTCGTTTTTAACATGTCCAAATTTAGCTGATTTTCAAAATTTTTGCATGAGTCTTTCGGAGGAGCACTAATAACCAGCAGATAGGGCAAACCTTTTGCCGACTGAAGCAATTTTTTGTAGACCTACGGCTTGTTTTTCAGAATTTCTACGATTTATTTTTTGAAGTAACCAAATTTTACATTTAGCCTATTTTAACCTCGTAAAAAATGAAATGTTGAACACTTTAGTCACCATTCGATGTAATTTTTTTCCTCTTTCTAACGCTTGCCTTTTTTTGCCGTGAAAGGCGAAATTTGTGGGAAAAATTGCAGTATTTCTCAATTTCAGGATGCGCACTGACGTAACCTATGTTTCAAAATCTTCTTAATTTGAAGCGAAAATCGCTCATTTCACTTTGTAATAGTCGCGGTAGTAATAATCGAGTTGTTGAAACCCTAGCATTCTGTAGGTTTGCAGTGTTTGGTGCAATAACAGGTTGTATGATTTTTCCAAAACACAAGGGTTTTTCAAAATCATTTAGTAAAAAATCTGAAAAAGCAGCTGAAAAAAAGAAAAAGATTGCGTAAGTTGGCAAAAGGTTTGCCCTATCTGCTGGTTGTTAGGGCTCCTCCTCCTGCTCTCATACAAAAATTTTGAAAGTTAGTGAAAGTTGGACATGGTAAGAATGAGTGGTTCTAATTTTCAGCAAATATCTCATCATTGTCGCAACGAAACACAATGGGAGTTTAGCAACTGGAAAGACGAAGAAATTCTGCATTGGATACATTTCGAAGAGTTTGTTTATCTTTATTAAAGCGTGTTTGCCGATGGATTGAAAAAACTGACAAAACTTTTGCACCGACTTGATATTATGGAAAATGCATTTACGTAGCTGTAATGGTCAGGGTTTTCCTAATTTAAGAAAAAAATTGAGAGACAAGCTTTATTTTAGCACAGCAAATGAAGCAAAAGGGCAATTAAATTCGAATTTCAGTAAAAAAAAACTAATGTTTTGCATCCAGAGAGTTTCAACATTTTTTTGACAATGAAGCCACTTTTTGAAAATTAATCTTCAAAGTTTTTTCTTTCAATTGAAAGAGAATGCCGGACTTTATGAACGATAGCGCGCGCTTAGGCAGGCGTGTGTCAATAAGGTGCGCACCGTTAGCCCCGCCTATCGCAAGATGGACGAGTTTATTGCAGTACAGCTGTAGCGCTGGTTCATGGCCATGTTCCCTAGTCAAGTGAAAGCAACTTCTGATAGTTTAAGCGTGTTGCAGTCTTGGGTGAAGCTTGACTATTTACAGAATTTTGTTCTGCTTTTTTGTTTCTTTTTCTGTCAGTCATGAACAACTAATGTTTTGATCATGAAATTCAAGAGATTTGCTGATTTACCTATGAATGACCGAGTCACTCCTGGATATCCAACTTTGAAGTGTGAAATCAATCTAGAACACCTCAGGCATGATTGTCTGAGTGACCTCACATCTTACGACTAGTTCACACGTAATTTCGATTGAGGTACAAATCAATTTACACTGAGGGTAGCAGTTTTTGAAAGCAAAAAAAAAAGAATTTTTTTATCTAAAGCAGATTCGAAAAAGTATAAGTGCAGTGTTTAATCGAAATCCTAAAATCTACTGTCATCCAAATTGCAACCAACTGGAGAAGCATGAACGAAATATCAGAGAGTTTTTCAACAGCTGCAACGCATTCCTAGGCTAATTAGCAAGGGGGCGGAGCGATCAGCGTACCGCGTACGGTACCCAGCTGGCGGCTGGCACATGCTATCGTTCATAAAGTCATACACCCTTCAGCATGCTGTAGATATTGTTGTATTTCCAACCTCCGTATTCAGATGGATTACGGTAGGGAATCACTGCGAGATTTGTCTCGACAAGTTTTTCGGATTGAAAAAAGGAGTATCTGCTGAAATTGATTACTTCCTGCATGTAAAAAATATTTTTAAAACTCTTCTACTGTATGATTAGAAATTTTGGGGCGTAATTGATTATGGCCAGCGTAGAAAATAGTTTAACTTAACCTGAGGTAAAAAATTTTAAACAAATTGCATTAAATAGAAGAAACTGATTTTCTGTTTCTTCTTTCTTTATCAGTTGTCTTTTCCTTACCATTTCATTCTCCCTTATCCTTCTCGACTCTGCAAACTCTCGCAACCTCGTCTAGGCCCTGTTTTTTCGTTCAACGCTGCAGCGGGTAGCCCCCTCCGATGTTTGGATCGATAAGGCTTGGCGCTGCGCTTTTTCAACTGCCCAACGGATGTCCTCAGTTTGCAAAGGTGACGTACTCTCTTATGTACTTTCCTTGTTGCTTTTAACTCTATCTAACACCTGTTCCCTTTAAGTGATGTTTGAACAATGTTTGGCAGCTGCAAAATCAATTTTAGTTGCAGTTACCAGGTCTTTATCCAGGGTAAACCCTGTATCTCCCCAGGACCACCTCATATTTCCATGTTTTTTCCATGCTGAAAAGTTTCTGTGAGCCTCTTCTTCATAATAAGCTGCGCCTTACATCATTAGACATTCCCGCGCCCGGCTGCGCTACATAAGCCGCTTCTCTATAAAAACGTGTGCCTAATCGAACAACGGCAGGGCTTGGGAGTTTCAGCAGCTCATTCTAGCTCTACGCTGCTTTCTGATGCTCCTATCTTAAAGGCTAGATCGCAGGCGGTATTGCTTCCATAAGCGGTCCGTAAAATCTCACCTTAATCAATAAATAAAACAATTATCCACCTTTTTGTGAAGTTTTTCCTCATGAGAAGTGCTTTTAGAAGGAAGTTCTCCGTTTTTAGCTGTTGAAATTTCTGTAGTCCAATTTTCCAAGTTGCTACGCCTTTAATTTGCAAGATTACTGTCACAGATGTGTGAAATTTTAATCCCACGACTACGATCAAGGTTCTTGCACGGAGTAATGGTAATCATAGTAGCAGTAATGCTAAATTATCTAAAGTGCACTATAAATCAGACCTGTACCTGAAAAATGAATTGATAGTTTGGAACAGTTATTGCAGCCGGACATGCTATAATGCCCTCAAATTATTTGTTATGTTTGTACCCTCCTTTGTAAAACGTGAATTGATGTTGAAGGTAAAAAATGCTGTCAGGAAAAGATAATCATGGTTTATCACAAATATCCAAGAAGCAGTACAGGTTATCAAATGAGTTCAGTGTACTGATCTCTAATATGCTATTTCTAGATGCTAAGCTCTTGGATCATGCGCTATGATGATTTGTGTATTAATTTCACTCATTGCCGCTGGAAAAAATCCAAGGCATCGAAAGACTCGTTTTATTATCGATTAATTATTTTTTTGGATCAGGAAAAAAGAAATGAGCAAACAGAATTGAACCGATTTCTCGAATAACATACATTTTTGCTTCCTTCTTGAACGTATAGCGCTTAAGAAATGTCTTTTCCTCCACGCTGCCATTTATATATGCGCAGATGAAAGCGCAAAATTCTCAGAGCTATGCTCCACCGATATAAAAGGCACATTTGAAATAACTGTGAAAATCATTTTCGGCCGAATCATTTTGAGAGCGATTGTAAGTTCAAAAACTGATGTCTTGTACATATTCCACTTTGTACGTTTTAACCAGGACTCGGCACGAGTTGGCACCAGAAGAATTTCAAAACAAAGACCTCTATGGTCCTGAAAATTTCGTGCAAAGTCCTCTTTGATCCTTCAACCCTAAATATAAAAAAGTCCTCAAAAACCAAACTTCGACTAAAAAACGTCGCAATTTTTGTGTCTTTTCGGCCACAAAAACGATAAAAAGATAGTAGTTCAAGAATTAGGTTTACATGGGGGATCTACATGAGCTCAGCTCTGCAATATGGATTTTCCATAGCTCTTCGTAACAACAATAAACAAAAACAAAAAGCAGTATACCTAATTCCGTTTCGTTCCCACTCACCATACGGAAATTAATCGGAGTTTACGATCTTTCCCGATTGTAGACATAAAGAAGAAAAAAGAAGAAACCTAAAAAACTCACTTATAGATTAGGATAGGTAGGTTAGCAAATATCCACTTGGCTCTTGTTTTCCGTACTTGATGCTTCTTAGTACGCTAAACCCTAGCCGAACTTCTAGATCGTCTTGCACTTATTAACTTATTCGGTAGGATTAAGTCTTGGATACATCTCAGAGCTGTCACTTTTGATCGAAGGCATGTGTTTCTAATTCAATGGGCTTCGCCTTTTTCATACCCAGTTGTCTTAAAACGCTTTATGAATGACTGACTGTTTAATTTATCTGCTTGCTTGCTTTCTTGTGTTCTCTGTTTCATTTAGAGGTAAGCCTTAGTACCGTACTCTTGCGCAGTCGGTTTTTCTTTTGGACTGATGGTAATTGACTTCGTGCCAGTAAAAAACGATGGTTGCTTCTGCACAATTCAAATGGCTGGGTAATTCAGCTAATGTTTTCAGTTTGAAAATCATCTCCATAGAGTTACCTTGACGACTAAGCTTAGTTTTTTTTATTAGTACCATACCCATTGAAAAAGTGTGTGGTTACCGTAATCCTGACGAAAAAACGTGCTGAATTGTCGCATGTAATGTATCTCTCTATTCTTAATTCTTTTGCTATAGCCGAATCATTTCAAATGATCATGTGTGCACTGCACACACAGTCCATCTTTGGCGTCCCCATCTTGGATTTGCAACCAAACGCAAGAGACTGACCGATTGTTATAGTTTCTTGTTCACCATATCTCGTGTGATTAGTATATACCTAGAAAGGAAAGAAAACCTTAAGAACACATTAAAAGCAATTATCTGAACGGTTTTCTCCTCCAAGAAAGCAGAATAGGAACGCCAAAGGTGGACAGTGTGCGCAGTGACACACATGGTAAAATGAAATGATTCGACTGTAGTCAAACGAACATCTACCCGTGGTTTCTCACAAACATTTTCACTTCAAAGATGGCATCGTACTTTTCCTAGGTTACTGTAATCGTTAGATCAGCCCAAAAAGGAAGAAGAACTCAGACAATTCACCGGGACTTCGCAAGACGCGCAGAATTTGCAGAGGTTCCGCAGAATTTCCGCAGGTGACCCGGCGGAAGTGCTGCGAAAATTCAGCCAGTTTCCTGAAAAGGGAGCTGCTTCTTTTAGTTTAGTAAAATCAAAGAGATTCCAAAATTCTCAAATACTTTATATTCCGCTAGAGCCTTTATGCTACCACGCAGGTAGCATAGTCCTAATGCGCAAAGGGTGCGAAAACAAACATTGTTAAAAGATTTGGTTTGCGGTAACCTCTCCTTTTTTTTACATGACCTTATTTCGCTGACTCTTCCTACAATGCAAATGTTATAAATACAGAGTGTCCCAAAAAATGTATCGAACGTTTAATTGTTCATAACTCTCTTATTATGAGGTCTTTCGAGAAGCGGTAAGCGCCATTTTGTAGAGCTGGCTTCAACTTAGATTTACAGTATAAAGCGAATCACCGACCGCTCTTCATTACTGTAGGATTACGGTAGAAACTTGGAATATATGGTGTCACTGTGGAAAAAGCTGCCGTTTCAAAAATTTTCAAAAAGATGTGAAAACTTGTGTAATAGGGTTTTTAGGGGCGCTGAGTTCAATACTCAACTATTCTCAAGACTGAGAAGCTTTCTAAACGGTATAACTGCACTTTTTAGGAACATTGAGAAAATGGCCGCTACTGCTTACCTCGCATAACTCTTCAGTGAAACATCATAATAAGTTGGGAACTTTACAGTTAGAATCAGCAACTCTAATTGGCCTAGTATAAAAGTTTTCAGGCTGTTTTGATCCCTTTCTGAGGCAAAATATGGCCTTTCATGGCCCAAAACCCTCATTCATGTTTCTACCGTAATCCTACAGTAACAGAGAAAGATGGACGATTCGCTCCATACTGTGAATCTAAGTTGAATCCAGTTCTACAAAAAGGCGCTTACCTCTTCTCGAAAGACCTCATAATAAGAGAGTTATTGGCAATCAAACAGTGGATACATTTTTTGGGACACCCTGTACAAGCTAGCGCCTGGACTAACGGTACAGTAACTATATATTGAAAAAATACTGTATTCCTGTAAAGATCATTCTTCGTGACAGTATAAATTACCCTATTTTCCGTAGTATAAGCCGCATTTCTTTTCACCGCGCGCGGGCTGAAATGCGATGTCGTTCGCGATGCGCGAAGCTGCAGAAGCAGCAACTATCATCTATTTCGCGTGGTAATCTAATACGGGCTTCTACTTTCGTTCTTTAATTGGTTTCTTCGCAAGTGTATTTGTTTGTAACAAAATTCCCAACTTTCTCACTTATTTTTCAAGAATCCGCTGAACAATAAAAGAACGTTCGAATACCAGTGGTAACGTGGAATCAAAAAATGATAAGCTTCAAACCTGTAAATCAAATAAAAGAAAGCAGAACTTCAGCACCAGTAACGTCATTGGAAAAAAGGAAAAAGCACAGTCAACCAGTAGTATCATTTAGGAAGAATAACATAACCTAAACACTCGAAAAGTCATATGAAACAAGAAAAAAAGTCTAACAGGTCTAAGCATTCTCACTATCATCAAGATGACTACCAGACATGACTATCCGTACTTGAACGCACCGAGTTTTCAATTTGCTATATAGCTCCTTTCAAAGGCGTTTTCGCGCAATTGTTCGCTGCGGCGGGTGCGGCTTATATAAGGTGCGGTTTATACTCCGGAAAATAGGGTATCTTTCTAGATTGTAGCTATTTCCGAACATCAAAAGTTTCATTTCCCTTAATAACACATCCATTCTTTTTTCAATTACCGTAGCCATTCCTACGCAGCAAGTGATTGAGGAAGCGCAACAATCTAACGCTTATAAATAGCAATGGAGTTGAAATGCGTGAAAATGCCTATGTAAAACACCTGTGCCGGGCAGCCGCGTTGCAGATACGCTCGCTGCGTTCAGCCACAGCGATATGGGCGATTTCGTGCAATCGACTTCACATTCTTAGCTGTCTCCATGATGTATAAAGAATCTTTCAGTAGCTTTCTTTGTTTTTATCACAAAGAAAAACTGAAAATTAATTCGAATTTCAATTTTTATCACCTGGTCCTTCCATCTTCCCTTTGTATTTGATGAGCGCAAGTTTTGATTTACAAGAATTATATGGAAGCTGTCAATTCTGGAGTCATTTCCCTTCCTTCCTCCTCCCCCCCCCCCCCGCCTAACCCATTCACGCATTTTCTTTTTTGAACAAAAGTTCTTTCACTTCTCTGAATTCAGGGGCCATGCTTGGATTTTAGCAACTTTTTCGTTGAAA